CTCCTAGTGATTGGTGCAAAGTCACCAGCTGGCTTTCATGCCTAAGGCGGCTCTAGAACTCATAATCTTCTAATGATTGGCCCATTATATATTATTTTTACCCAAACTACGTTAGGTAACCTTGTTGTTCTAACATTAACCATTGTACCAAACTGGCTGTAAATAAAATAAATAAATATGAGTTTCCCTTTCAGCTTGGCAAGCTGTGAAAAAATAATTATATTTTTCCTTCTGAGTTCGTGTATTTCCAACTCCACATTGAAACTTCGCACCCACCGCTTCTAACATCATAATGAACTGCTGATGGGGATAAATTGGAGTTCCCAAGGGCATTCTCACAAACTATAGGTGAATATGAAAACAGAAAAGGAGAAAAGACTTCCTAAGCAGCAATAATCAATTTTTCTTACGTTAGTAAGGGGAAATAGTGCCGTAGGTGAAAAAGGATGAAGAAAAGCCAGAAAATGTAATCCCTCAGCAGAATTTCTGAGCGTCTGCTGCTCACTGCTCCCGCCAAGATTTACTCCCTTCTCTCGGCGTGCGTCTCTTTCCTTTGAAAAATGTGGCCGGCACATCACCTGCAGCATTAAATATTTCATTATATTTAGCACATTACCCATTTGGAAAACGAAGTTCCAGCGCCGTATATCATTACTGTTCAAAAGCGCGAGTGTGTTAAATGAAAGCCACCTTGTTCCTCCTTGGGGGGGCGGGAGGGGGGAAATCATTCAGATGGCAAATCACTTAGAATAGACTCGGGGCAGGACAGTGGAACGGCAAAGGAAGCCCCTGTGTAGCCCTGTAAAGTAGTCTAGGCAGGAAACGCTCAGTACTAACACCATCTTCACTTTAACAGAATCTTGCAAATCTTAAAACGCCTCTTTCCTCCATCATACTTGCCCTTCTCAAAGAACTAGGAAGGGTCCATAAGAGTAGGAGTGGGATTCTACTGGTTCAGCCTGGTTCGGAAGAACCACTTGCTCCGAAAATCAGTTGGCAGAGGACTAGTTCGCTGTGACTATTGTGTGGGCCCGCCAACCCGCCCTTGCATTTTATCTACCTATATCATCTCAGCTGATTAGCGCAGCACAGCGGATTACTAGAGTGTTGCGCATGCACGCACAGCTCGCACAAAGCATATGATCACCAAACCGGTTGTTAAACCTGGAGAATCCCACCCCATGCATAAGAGCTGTGGTGATGCAGTGGTTAGAATGCAGCATTGCAGGCTACTTCTGGTGACTGCCGGCTGCCTGCAGTTCTCACCAGCTTAAGGTTGACTCAGCTTTCCATCCTTCAAGGGAAATATAATACCACTCTATAAAGCCTTAGTAAGACCACACCTAGAGTACTGCATCCAGTTTTGTTTACAACATTATAAAAAAGATGTTGAGATTCTAGAAAAAGTACAGAGAAGAGCAACCAGGATTATTAGGGGACTGGAGGCTAAAACATACAATGAACAGTTACAGGAACTGGGCTTGGCTAGTCTAGTAAAGAGAAGGACCAGAGGAGACATGATAGCGGTCTTCCAATATTTGATGGGCTGCCACAGGGAGGAAGGGGTCAATCTATTTTCTAAAGCGCCTGTAGGCCAGACAATGGATGGAAACTGAAGAAGGAGAGATTTAACCTGGAAATAAGGAGAAACTTTCAGACAGTGAGAACAATCAATCAATGGGACAGCTTGCCCTTGGAAGTTGTGGGAGCGCCATCACTTGAGACTTTCAAGAAGAGATTAGACTGCCATTTGTCAGAAATGGTGTAGGGTCTCCCACTTGGGCCGGGGGTTGGATTAGATGACCTACAAGTCCCTTCCAACTCTGATTATCTGTTATCTGTTACCTTCCGAGATCAGTAAAATGAGAACCGTGATTGTTACGGACAATATGCTGACTCTGTAAACCGCTTAAAGAAGGCTGTAAAATGCTGTGAAGTGGTATATAAGTCTAAGGGCTATTGCTGTTCTGAGATGCTTTCCCCAAGTCTGTTTCTTCTATGGACTGAATATCTCTTACTTGATCAATGCCCTGGCTGCATTTCTTCCTCCTGCCTCCCGGTGTCCAGTGCTTAGAATACAGTATTGCAGGCAAATTCTGCCCACAGCCAGGAGTTCGATCCTGACCCACTCAAACTTTGCTCAGCTTTCCGTCCTTCCGAGGTTGGTAAAATGAGGACCCAGATTGTTGGCGGCAATAGTTTGACTCTCGACTTAGATAAGGCTGTAAAGCACTTTGAAGCGGTATATAAGTTTTAAGTGCTATTGCTATTCTCAGATTACACCATTAGATTTTGTTTTGGCCGTCAAGACCTGCAACAAAAATACAAAGAGTGAAATTTCTTCGTTCAAAGTTTCAGTCAGCCCTTTTCCATATTTCCTTCCCTTTCTCCCCTTAAGAGACATAAGACATCCTATGCCAAAGTGCACCTCTAAAACCCCAAAATGTCCATCGTCTTTCTCCCCCAATCATCATCATCATG